TGAAGGTACCAATTATGCCTAGAGTGAAGAATGGATATGAGGCAAACATTGAGTCATGAAAACATATATGGCAAATTTTGGAAACTGGGAAGAGAAGAGTATGACTGGGGTGGAGTGAGAAATGGGAGATCTGCCTGCAAAGATTCAGCAAGTAAATGGTCAGATTAGGCAAGATGGTATATATTAGACAAGACACATCATTTGTTTTCTAAAGTGGGACACTTCCGAGAGTGATGGCAGATGTCAGGATACAGAAACACAGGTTGGCACTATCTCAAGCAAACTAGGAAGTATGACCTCTTAAAGGATCTTGGGTTTTATTTGAACTGTAATGGGATTTCCTATTACTTTCCAAAGGTTATGCTGTATATATCCAATAGAAACTCATGTTTGTTCACCCAAAGTTGTGTGTTAGAATGCACACAACTGCACTATTCAAAATACTCCTAAGTTGAAAGCTACCATAATGTTTTAAAGAATCAGTGGCTAATTTCTGGTGTGTTTTGGCGACGGAATACTACCGGCAATGAGAATAAACAAACTATAACTTCTTGCAAAAATATGAGTAGGACTAGTCACAAAAATACTTAATGCTTATAAAGTATAAACACAAACACAAAAATCATCTATGATGCTTCAGGTCAGGAAAAGTGGCTACTTTTAGGGAGAACTACAACTGCAGTCTCATTAAAATTCTGCCTTTTTATCTGGATGTTATATGAGTGTGTTTGTGAAAATCTTTAGTTGTACACTTATTATAAATGTACTTTTCTGCTTACGGTACTTGCTATACATTAAAGAGGCAATATGTGCTTCCTACCATATAGAGAACACAGTAAAAAAGTTTAAGAGTAGAGAGTGCCTCCGTTTTTACCCATTTATTTTAATTTATTTCTGAGATGTATATATGACATACAAGAAACATTTTATTCTGTAGCAGCATTTGTGTACCACAGCACTATTGACATTTGTGCTGGATAATCTTCTGTTGTTGCTGGTGATGGTGGTTATGTTGGTAGCAGTGAATAGGATGTTTAGTAGTATACTGGTCTGCGCCCCCTAGATACCAGTAGCATTTCCTGCCCTGAGTCCCAGCAATCAAATATGTCTTCTAACATTGCCACATGTCCCCTGAGGGTAACAGTTACTCCCATATGAGAACCACTGAACTACGGCGATAACAATTTCTGACATCTATTGAGTGCTTAACTCTGTACCAGTTTCTTTTCTAAGGGTGTTGCATTTATTGACACATTTTCTTTACCAACATCCCTGTGCCTCATTTTCTTTGTTCCCAAGGAGGAAACTGAAGTCCAAATATTTTAACAATATTTTGCAAGATCCCGTAGCTTGTTAGTAGATGACAAAGCCAAGATTTATACCCAGGCAGCCCATAGTGTATGCTCTTAGCCACCACATTTTCCTGCCTTTTGCTTCTTTACCTAACACATGACCAGGGCTGCATAGATCGTATTCTGATTAGAGGAATATGCCAAGACCTTCTGAGTTCCACAGTGATGTCTCTTCAAACTTGTTCATTCTTTAAAGTTACAGAAAGTTAGGATTCATATTTTTAAAATGTACTATGGGAATCAAGCTTAAAAACCAAGTATTAGTGTGACTCATGGGTTACACCTTAATAAAACTTCAAGAGCTCACAGAGACCAATGTGATTATGGGATAAATTATTCCAGTTTTTTAAACAGAGAGGCAGTATACTTATGTTTTACAGTTGCCTTGAGTTATATATAAAAACCAGCTCCTGGCCCTTTAATTACAGACAAAGGTAGAACCACGACGACAGCCTCATGAATAAAGCGGTGCCATTCACATCTGAAAAGGCACTTCTGTAGCCTCCAGATTCAATGTAAAGCCTTCCCTATGAAGCACACTCTCTTTCAGATTTGTGCGTAAGGTTTTTTTTTTTTTTTTTTTTCTGTTGCTAAGAAAATATTATCTGGAGTGCATGATATAGTTTGTATATGTGTTCCCACCCAAATTTCATGTCAAATTATAATCCCCAACATCAGAGGTGGGGCTTGGCAGGTGATTGGATCATGGGGGTGATTTTTCATGAATGGTTTAGCGTCATCCCTTTTTGTATTGTCCTTGCAATAATTAGTGAGTTTTCTTGTGATCCAGTTGTTTAAAAGTGTGTATCACCTCCCCCATTGCTCTCTCATTTGCTCTTGTTCTGGCCATGTGACTGTCTGCTCCCTCTTTCCCTTCCACCATGATTGTAAGTTTCCTGAGGCCTCCCAGGATGCTCAGCAGATGCCAGCATCACATTTACTGTACATCCTGTGAAACCATGAGCCAATTTAAACTCTTTTCTTTATATATTACCCAGTTTCACGTATTTGTTTTCTTTCTTTTTTGAGACAAACTCTTAATCTGTTGCCAGGCTAGAGTGCAGTGGCGTGATCTCAGCTCACTGCAACCTCTGCCTCCTGGGTTCAAGTGATTCTCCTGCCTCAGCCTCCTGAACAGCTGGGACTACAGGTGTGCGCCACCACGCTGCCTGGCTAATTTTTTTTATTTTTAGTAGGGACAGGGTTTCACCATCTTAGTCACAATGGTTCAATCTCTTGACCTCATGATTTGCCTTCCTCCACCTCCCAAAGGGCTGGGATTTCAGGCATGAGCCACCATACCCAGCCCAGGTATTTCTTCATAGAAATGCAGGAATTGACTAATACAGTGCAAGAGAAATAAATATTAAAAACTCTGCATAATCCTGGCACTTTGGGAGGCCGAGGCGGGTGGATCGTGAGGTCAAGAGATCGAGACCATCCTGGTCAACATGGTGAAACCCCGTCTCTACTAAAGATACAAAAAATTAGCTGGGCATGGTGGCGCATGCCTGTAATCCCAGCTGCTCAGGAGGCTGAGGCAGGAGAATTGCCTGAACCCAGGAGGCGGAGATTGCGGTGAGCCAAGATCGCGCCATTGCACTCCCACCTGGGTAACAAGAGCGAAACTCTGTCTCAAAAAATAAATAAATAAATAAATAAATAAATAAATAAATAAATAAACAAACTCTGCATGAAATAAGCAGTGTAAATAGAATAGTCATGAACAAATATCACTTAAATCTGCTCTCATATTTGTTACAAACTCACTTTTTATGAGAAAGCTAGTTATATATTTCACTCACCATGCCTCGGTTGTCCTGCGATTTCCTGAGAGCTGCAATGCTGACTCTATAATTGTTTTCTTCCTGTGCGCTGGTCTTCTCTATGCAGACAAATTGTGTTTGAAAAGTTGGTAAATTAGTTGCTTAGAACTGAAAGGCATGCTAAAATAAAAATGTTACTATAAATGGTGTTTAAATTCCCTGACCAGCCACTAAATGCCTCAAAGAGAAAAATAATAGAAAAGGGGAGGAAGAGTAAGCATGTCATAAGTTATTGGCATTATTTGTTTTAGTAAGTATGCGTGTGTAAATGTGCAAATATACATATACAGTTACATACGTGTGTATAACACGCATGCACACTACATATATTCTTATTGAGACAAGATCCTGTAATTAAAAATTATTGACTACATGTGAAAAATGACATTTTAAAGTTTTGTTTTCTGTGTGTTTTTTATGGTTAGTAGTATTTCTGGCTTTTCTCCTGGCTGAGGAAGTTGAAAATTATCATTGAGGAAATATGCATCTTTGTTTCTGGAAAAGCACTTTAAAGACTTTTTTGAATTTCCCATGGTAAGGAAACATTTTTATTCAGAAAAGAAAGATTTAAAGCAATATGGAGTTCAACTTTTCTCATAATTGTATAGTTTGTCTTCCTTGGAGGTGAACACAAAACTCTGCCAAGTGTTTCATTTTAAGAATTTTTTTTTCGGTAGGATTAAGGAATGGAAGTTAGTCACTTATGAGAATAGACAAGCTCAAGGATACCTTTTCTCTGAGGTGAGCATTTTGGTGGTGACTAGGAGATTAGGAGAGAAGCTGTCTAAGAGTTGGCCCCCTTTGATCAACATCATCAAAATCACTTAAGAACTTGTTAGAATGGTGGCATCTCAGGCTTTATTCCAAGAATCAGCATTTTCACAAAATGTCTAAGGACATGTATGCTTAGTAACATTTAGAAGGAACTGGCAAAAAGTATTTTCTATATAATAGAAATTGGCCTGTGGAGTTCAACAATAGTCGCATCTATAATCCATTCTCTTAAAGGTTTACTGATTTGTGCTGTAAAAACAGAATACCATAGACTGGGTAATTTATAAAAGACAGAGACTTATTTCTTACAGTTCTGAAGGCTGTGAAGTTCAAAGTCCGAGTGTCTGCATCTAGCAAGGACCTTCTTTCTGTGTCTTCCCATGATGGAAGTGAAACAGCACAAGTATGTGAGAGAGAGAGTAAAAGGAGGGTGTTGAACTCATTCTTTGATTGGGAATTCACTCCTGTGATAACTCACCCATGCCTGCAATAAAGGCATAGTCCATTCATGAAGAAAGAGCCTTCATGATCCAATCATCTCTTAAAGGTCCCATCTCCCAATACTGTTGCATTGGGGATTAAGTTTCCAACACATGAACTTTGTGGGATGCATTCAAACTATAGTGTTCTTCCCCTGGCCTCAAAAATTTATGTTTTTCTTCATGCAAAATACATTAATCCCATCCTAATAACTCCAAGATGTTAACTTGTTTTAGTACCAACTCAGAAAGTGCAGAGTCTCATCTAAATCAGATATGGAGGAGATTCAAGACACAATTCATCCTGAGATAAATTCCTCTCCAGCTGTGAGCCTGTAAGATTAACAAGTTACATGCTTTCAAAATACGATGAGAGAGGCATAAGATAGACATTTCTATTTTTTTTTTTTTGGAGGATTGAGGTTTCCTTTTATTTCATGAAACTTGTTTGCTTAAACTACTCTTCATTTAATGCCCATTACTAAGCAAAGTTCCTTGTGTCTGTCTTATGCTCAGTCAACCTCTTCTCTTTCATATTAAAGAGCAGAATCTGACAATATGATAGAGCATTTGATTTATGAAATCTTGACCCACCAACTTTTAAGAATGAAAGAAAGCAATTCCATCCCTCCCCCAAAAAGGACATCTTTTAAGCTTTCCTCCCAACCTGAGTTCCATGGGATCTCAGAAATTCCAATTCTTCTAATTCAAATCCCCATAGTAGTGTAGCTGCATTAACTCCCTGGGGAGAGCAGTCTGAGGCAGGCAGGTTCATTAAACAAATCTGTGCAGTGCCCTCTGGCAGAGAGGGCAGCAGGACATACACTGCCCTTTAGCCAAGCTGTGGCATAGGCAAGGACATCAGGTGACTGACAATGATCTGTCCATCTCAGCTGGGGTGGAGGGGCCAGCTCAGCCTTGAAACAGCAACTTAGGAAGTGTCTCAGCTGAAGGTTAATGTGTCCACATCTCCAGCTTGGGAGGTAGAGTGGATGAAGGAGTGAATGATTTCTTGCCTTCAGCTAGAGCTTTAAAATGCTGTGAATTATTGAATTCTGAGTACAGGGAAAAGCAGATGGAGGGACTGGATCCGACTCTTGTAGACAGAGATGTCTATAATGTCACAGATCATGTCAGTGTAGCCTGCCAGGCTGTAATCAGTCTCTGCTGTGGTCAGGCTTACCTGTAATATCAGCACTGTGAGAGGTTGAGGTGGGCAGATTGCCTGAGACCAGGAGTTTGAGACCAGCCTGGGCAACATGGTGAAATTCCATCTCTTGCCCAAAAGCTCTTCAAACTCCAGGGACCATTCCTGAATCAGCATGTCAATGTCAGGCAGGGGCCTGGTGTAGTGCACAGTCACAAGGGGCTTAGAACGGTGTAATTCAGAGATGCTCTCAATCCATGTGTCAATGGCTTTGGGATTCTTTTCTACATCTTCCAGGCTCTTTGCTTTCATATGTTGTGGGATGTTGTGCTGCTTAGAATTCTCTGTTAACCGCAGTGAGAACACTGTAGGGTCTGACTGCTTTGTAGAAGGTTTATCCAATACCAACAGGCCAAGGTTGTCAGGCTTTCCATCAGGACATGGGACCTTTAAGACTACCTCAATATCCCCAATAGCTGGGATAAAATTAGGAATGAAAGGCTTCAGTTTGTGGTCCAGGTCAGTCAACTGAGGTGTGTATGTACTGATGTACTGGAAGAGTTCCTTAATCTCAGCAGAAACTGGAAAATGCTCATAATCTGCAGGGTTACGGAACTACTTCCAGATGGGCTCCATGCCCTTCATCATCATCATCAGAATCAGAATCCATTTCAGATGAATAATGCTCATCATGGTCATCATCATCATCATCATCATTTTCACTAAAGCCCCATTGAGGTGTCAACTGTGAGGTTTTCTTCTCCTTTCTATGCTTCTGGCTCTCTCTGTACCATCCCATCCTCTCAAGTCCATAAGAAGGGGTCCAGTGGCACTTGGAACTTGCAGGGGCAGGTCCATGTCTTTGCCTTTGTATCCTGGAGCCTGTGGCCTGCCCTCCCTTAGGCCCTTGTTATTTTTCTCTTCATACTCATCACTGCTCTTATCAACCATAGCCTTGTTAGGAAGATGGGCAGAACAAGGAAGCCCTTGGCATCTTGGGGTTGGAGTATAAATATTTGCAACCTTTTCGGAGTCATTAACCTCTGGACGCTCATCATACGTCTGGTTTTCAACAACCTTGGTCTGTAGCCCCTCTAAATCTGTCTCCTCTATAATGGAAAGAACCCCAGCTAGGGCTGGGGTATCACTCCAGGGTCAAGGCCTGGCCACTTTAGGGATTCCATGCAGAGCAACCATGACATTTCTATTCTTAAAAGGAGAAGTACGCAAGAAGTAAAGGATGACTGGTCCCAAGTAAGTCCAAAATTCAACAGAGAAAACAATGTTAAGTCTTAAGGCTGGAGATTCATCTCCTTCAACTCTGTTCCTTTGGTGCCGGGCACACTGGGGTGGCAGTTGTACTCCCAAGGTCTCAAGCAGCCCCTCCCCTATGGCTTTGATGGTTCAGTCCGTTGAACAGCTCTCAAAGGTTGGAGTCTCATACTTGCAGCCTTCCCAGGCTGGAGTTGCACTGTTGGTCCTACTTCTGGAGTCTCGGGAGCTGCTCCGTTCCTATGATTCTCCAGGCTTTGTCCTAGTGGAGGTTCTCTGTGGTGGCCCTGCTCCTGCAACAAGTCCCTGGCTGAGTCTCTGGGCTGTCCCATACATACTTTTGAAGATTAGTCTGAGGCTGCCATGGCCCTACAGCTTCTGCACTCCAAACATCTGCAAGGTTAGCACCATGTGGGTGCCAATGACATGGATGTCACCAAGGCTTATCACTTTCACCCTCCAGAGATGTGGCAAAAACCACGTCTGGGCCTGTTTGAGCAATAGCTGGGGCAGCTGAGGAGCACTGTGCTGGAATGTGGGGAGCAGAGCCACAAGAAGCCCTGGACAGTGAATGCTGAGGTCTAGTGAGCACTTCTCTGACAACCTTGCCCTTAGGGTCTTAGGTTGCCTTGAAGACCTCTGAAATTCCTTTACGTTTATTTTCCCATAGTCTTCATGAATAGAGTCTGGCTTCATTCTATTCATATTAATCCCTTTAGTAAAGTGTCACTTGGCAACACCCTTAATATTCTTTCCTGAACATACTTTTTTAGTTTTTTCAGGGCCAAGCTGACCGTTTTCCAAATATTTCTATTTTGTATTCCTTTTAATTATAAATTCTATGTCTAAATCATTTCTGTTTTATATCTTTTTACTATAAGTGCCCAAAAGAATCCATGTTTACCTTGAATGCTTCACTGCTTAGATATTTCTTATGTGAGCTATCCTGGTTCATTGCTATGAAGTTCTGCCTTCCACAAAGTCATAGGACTTGAAAACAGTTCCACCAAGTTATTTTCAAGTATGTAACAAAAATGGCCTTTACTCTCTTTTCCAATATCTTCTTCCTCATTTCCCTCTAAGGCCTCATCAGAATGGCCTTTACCATCTCTATTTCTACCAATATTTGATCATGAACATTTAAGTAATCTTTAAGAAGGTTTGGGCTCTCTCTATCTATCTCTTTCCTTCTGAACCCTCACCAGAATTTTCCTTAATACTCCATTCATAGTAATACAGAGTTTTTCAAATTCTTACAGCTTCTTCCCATTAACTAGTTCCAAAGCTACTTCCATATTTCTAGGTATTTGTTATAGCAGGAGCCCCAATTTTGGTGCCAATTATTTGTATTTGTCTGTTTTATGCTGCTGTAACAGAATGCCAAAAAATTATAATTCATAAAGAATAGAAATGTATATCTCATAGTTCTTGAGGAAGTCCAAGGCTGAGGAGCCCACATCTGGAGACACCCTTGTGCTGTGTCATTTTATGGCAGAAGGTGGAAGGGCAAGGAAGCGTGTGTGTGTGTGTGTGTGTGTGTGTGAGAGAGAGAGAGAGAGAGAGAGAGAGACCCACCTGAACTCATCTTTTTATTAGGAACCTACTCCTGTGATAACTAACCCACTCCTGTAATAAAGTCATTAATCCACTCATGAGGGCAGATCTTTAATTAACCCTTTTTTTTTTTTTTTTTTTTTTTTTTTTCCTGAGATGAAGTTTCACAATTGCTGCCCAGGCTGGAGTGTAATGGTGTTATCTTGGCTCACTGCAACTTCCATCTCCTGGAATCAAGCAATTGTCCTTCCTCAGCCTCCCGAATAGCTGAGATTACAGACTTGTACCACCATGTCCAGCTAATTTTTGTATTTTTAGTTGAGATGGGGTTTTTCCACGTTGTTCAGGCTGGTCTCGAACTCCCAACCTCATGTTATCCATCTGCCTCTGCTTCCCAAAGTGCTGGGATTACAGGCATGAACCACCATGCCCGACCAGACCGTAATTACCTCTTAAAGCTCCTACCTTTCCACACCATTGCATTAGGATGGATTTTTTCAATATATAAACTTTGGGGGACGTATTCAAACAATTGCAAATTGCAAATTTTCTGTGTTCTGTTATTTCTTAGGTCTTCAACTCCATGAGGAATTAAGAGGAAGGCCTCACCCATGCTTGAAAAATAACTGCTTCTAGTGAGTATTGTTGGTTCTTATCCAAACATTTTCACTTCCTAAGAAGTCTGAGATTCGCCTTTGCTCACACCTTCTCAACACAACCAGCAGCTTTTGGGTAAACATAAACCTACCTTAGCTTGAGTGATGGGTCCTGGTTGGTTAAACCGATCAGGATATATTATCACTTGGCTACGGCCATTGGTTCAAGGTTGGGTATTTAACTTAAGCCCACCAGTCAAGGTGAGTCTTGGTCCTGTTCTTTCGAATGCTGGCTCAGACACATTATTTTTCCTGTTTAACAAGAATCAGGAAACACATGGCCTTATTAACATTAGAAGGTTTTCATGACCATGGGGTCTGGAAGTAGAAATGGGGGGAAATCAGACTTAGGAAGAAGCTAATGCCTTGAAGGTAGAGTAAAGCAGTAGAAAAAAGTATGTACTTAGTGACATTTATCAGTTCATTATTTCTGAAGCCCTCCCTATAGATGAACTCTCTGTTATAGAAGTCAGTAAATCCCCTTTATTATGTAAGTCAGTTTGAGGTAAGTTTTCTTTCACTGACAGCATGAGGAGTCTTAAGAGACACAATTGTATAGAAAGAATGGCATTAGCATGATTGACCATCTATGCTTGAAATACTAAGAAACAACTTAAAAAGTGTAGACAGCTGTCTGACTTCAGGGGGCTGGCTGATTGGTTTACATAATGCATAAGCATTTCTTTTTTTATATATACTTTAAGTTCTGGGGTATGTGTGCAGAATGTGCAGGTTTGTTACATAGGTATACTCATGCCATGGTGGTTTGCTGCATCCATCAACCCGTCATCTACATTAGGTATTTCTCCTAATGCTATCCCTCCCCTATCCCCCCACCCCCTGCTATCCCTCCCCTAGATACCCCCCCACAGGCCCATGTGTGATGCTTCCCTCCCTGTGTCTATATGTTTTTATTGTTCAACACCCACTTATGAGTGAGAACATGCAGTGTTTGGTTTTCTGTTCTTGTGTCGGTTTGCTGAGAATGATGGTTTCCAGCTTTATCCATGTCCCTGCAAAGGACATGAATTCATCCTTTTTATGGCTGCATAATATCCCATGGTGTGTGTGTGCCATATTTTCTTTATCCAGTCTATCATTGATGGGCATTTGGGTAGTTCCAAGTCTTTGCTCTTATGAACAGTGCCGCAATAAACATACATGTGCATGTGTCTTTGTAGTAGAATGATTAAGTGTTCCTTAGATTATCAAGACTATTTTGGAAGGGCAGCTTGTAAAAGGAATTTCTGCATTTGAAAAGAAAGAAAACACAAAAGTCAACCAGCATTTCTTTCCTCCCTCTGCCCTTCCCTCATTTCCTTCCTTCTTTCCTCCCTCCCTGCCTCCCTCCTTCCCTCCCTCCCTTCCTCCCTCCCTCTCTCCCTCCCTCCCTCCTGTTTTTCTTTTCTTTTCATTTCCTCTCCTTCCCTCCCTTCCCTTGCTTCCTTCCTTCCCTTCTTCCTTTTCCTTCCTTCCTTCCTTCTTCCCTCTCTCTCTTCCTCTCTCTCTCTCTCTTTCTCCGTCTTTCCTTTTTTCTTTTATCACTAAAAGGATCTGTTGTCTTTGAAGGCTAGAGATAGCTGAACAAGTTAGCTCATATATTATGAGTGTTACCTTGACTATGGAGTATTTGGTACATGTAAGGGAATGAATACCATTTAAATTCATCTCATTCTCCTGATCCCTAGACCCCATTACAGCCTCAACAACACTGGGAAAAAATGGTGTTGGTGAGAATACAGTCTCTACTGCTGTAGTTGTTCCCAAGGCAGTAACCGCTACGCATGGTCTCTTTCCTCCACTACCCTTTCTAGGCGGCTTTTCCCTTCTCTAGCATTTCGGATGATCTGGGAGCTTGCCTGGTAGGGTAACCTAACTCCTCATCCTGGAGGCCTCTCAGTAACTGAGGTTCTGTAGTTTTTTAAAAAGGTACTTCTCTATTTACAGTTAAAAACTGGACATGGGGATACCAAGAAATGTCCCATGGGCACACACTGTCTTCCCTGTCCCTGTTGTGCAGCAATGGTTGACTTCCTCATGAGTGTGAATTTCTGTGCCGCTTGCTGGCTTGAAAATTCCAAAATTTTAGCAGAATTCTTACTTTGTTCCCTGCTGGCAGCATCCCCTACTCTGAACCCCAGACGTGTAGATCATAGAGCCTGAAGCTGCAGGGACAGAAAACACGACTCATTCTCCAAATGCATCACTGGGAATGAGTGTGAATGAGGATCGTGAATATGAATTAGTATGAATGTGCTACCTGTTGGGAACATAGCAGCACCACATAGGAGCCACTGGTTTAAGATGTATGATGTATACTTTGATCTAAAGGGTAGTTCCCCATCTTCACAACGTGTCATCTCCAAGTTGGTGCCTGGGCTAACATTTCAAGAGGCTTTTCTTTCAAACTAGCAGCTTCTAGATGGTATGGTGTACGGCAGGAGCCATGAATCCCATGCTTGTGTGCTCACTGCCATGTTTTATTTGTTGTAAAGCAGGTCTCTTGTCCAATGTGATGTCGTGTAGGAGTCCCCGCTGGTAGATCAGATACTCTGTGAGGCCTGGAAGTAATGGCTGAGGTACCATAGATAGAAAATTCAAATTCATAACCACAATATGAGTCAACCCAAACCAAGATGAAATATTATTCATTCCAAGATGTTACCAAATGGCTGGCTGATATATGGCAGGAATTGGACTCTAGTAGGGAGGGTGGGCCATGGTCCTAGTCTCTATTGCTCATAGGTCAGCCCTCTACCAGTAGTAGGCTTGGTAAGAAAAAATCCTTGCTGTTGATAAGAAAAAATCCTTGCTGTTGAGTGTATGCATAGGCTCCACCTAAGATACCATAGATGCTCTGTACATAAGCTCATTGCTACTTTCTGGGATGTCCAAGGGCAGAGGCTAGCTGATACTTCCTGGCCGTCATTCTGTCAACTCAGTTATTGTCTTCCACAGTGGTCTTTGCGTCTTATCCGACACTAATGTAAAAATGAATAGATTCTCCCTCTTTGTGTTCATTACCATTGGGTCATCCACATACCTCCTTGCCAGCACTCTTGTTTTCAATCTTCCAAACTTTCCAGGTTCCTATCCAACCAACGAAGCCATTTACCACTGACCATGAGACTATCTTTATTCTTACTTCAGGCCTTTTTTTTTTTTTTTTTTTTTGAGTAGAGTTTCACTCTTGCTGCCCAGGCTACAAACTCCACCTCCCAGGTTCAAGCGATTCTCCTGCCTCAGCCTCCTGAGTAGCTGGGATTACAGGCGCCCACCACCGCACCTGGCTAATTTTTGTATTTTTAGTAGAGACGGAGTTGCAACATGTTGGCCAGGCTGGTCTCAAACCTGACTTCAGGTGATCCACTTGCCTCAGCCTCCTAAAGTGCTGGGATTACATGTGTGAGCCACCATGCTCGGCCATTTCAGGCCACTTAAAAATTCACAGAAAGTGAATGACCAAGTGCCCCAGTCAAAATTCTGCTCATCAGGAGGGCTTTCCTTTCACCACCGTTCTTTAGGGCCACCTCTAAAGTGACAGTGTAGTCCATATTTTTACTGACATGCTTAACCAACTTCTCTGTTGTTTGTGTCTGCTGAGTTTACTTAAAGGGATTTGCCTTTCTGTGAGCTTGGTGATATTGATTCTGAGATCGCTGGTAGATTTTCATCTGTGTGGTTTCTAAATGTCTAAATTGGACATGTTTCCTCCAGAGATTAGTTGAATTTGCTGGTATTAAAAAGTTTCTGCGGAACTGCAGAGTCTCAGCTCATCAGAGTTCCAGCTTCAACTTTCTTTGCTCCGTTACCAGAAAGGGGGTCCCAATTCAGATCCAAAAGAGAGTTCTCGGATTACGTGCAAGAGTCTATATAGTAAAGTGAAAGCAAGTTCATTAAGAAAGTAAAGGAATAAAGAATGACTGCACCACAGACAGAACTGCCTCTAGAGATGCTGGCTGCCCATTTTTAAGATTACTTCTTGATTATGTGCTACACAAAGGGTGGATTATTTATGTCTCCCCTGTTTAAATTATATAGAGTAACTTCCTGATGTTGCCATGGCATTTGTAAACTGTCATGGTGCTGGTGGGAGTGTAGCAGTGAGGACGACCAGAGGTCACTCTTAGTTTTGTCCAGCTTCTTTACTGCAACCTATTTTATCTGCAGGATCTTTATGACCTGTATCTTGTGCCGACCTCCAGTCTTATCCTGTGACTTAGAATGCCTTAACTTGCTAGGAATGCCATCCAGCAGGTCTTAGCCTTATTTCTCCCAGCCCCTATTCAAGATGGAGTTGCTCTGATTCAAATGCCTCTGACAACTCTGTAGCTGGTTCAATGTGTTCCAATGGTAGTACTAAGCTAAGCTTTTGCCTCCAGGGTGACTCCTCTCACCTATTCTAGATCCAGTCCACATTTTTTGGGCAACTATCAATGTCTCCAAGAGTGAGTCTTATCTGGAGTCTAGATGTTGGGCAGTGAAAGGATCTACAGAGAACTTCAATTAGCATAACAGCAGAAGGAGTACATTGAAATTTCTAGAGGACAATTTTGACTGTCATTGAAACAAGATCTTTTTCTTGATGAACAGCCATCACAGGAGATTTTAGACTGAAAGAAGTCACTGTTTTCTCTATCATAGTGTAATAATAGTTCATGTTGTATGCTTTGTGTACATTTTCTCATTTTGTCTTCACAAGACTCTTACAAGAGGCTGCTCTGTTGTTTTTTTAGTAGAGACGGTGGGGGAGGGGCGGGGACAGAGGTTTGGCCATGTTGGCCAGGTGGGTCTCAAACTGCTGACCTCAGCTGATCCACTTGCTTCGGCCTCCCAAAGTTCTGAGATTTACAGGCATGAGCCACCACACCCGGCCATTTCGGGCCATTTTTAAAATTCACAGAAGGTAAATGACCAAGTGCCCTAGTCAAAATTCTGCCCATTAGGAGGGCTTTCCCTTCACCTCTGTCCTTTAGGGT